TGAATAGACACTTCTCAGATGAAGAAGTAGAAATGGCGAATAAATACATGAAAAAGTGTTCAACATCACTGGTCATTCAAGACAGACAAAACAACTCTGAGATTCCATCTCCAGAAAGAATGGCTGTTATCAAGAGATCAACCAATAATAAACGCTGATGGGGCTTTGAGGAAAAAGGAACCCTTCTCCACTGTCGGTGGAAGTGTAGAGTGGTGTGACCACTGGAAATCAGTGCAGAGATTCCTCACAAAACTAAAAGTAAAGGTTCCAATTGACCCAGCTATTCCCCTTGTTATCTTCCCAAAAGTATTAAAAGCATCATACCACAGCAATATATGCGCACCCATGTTTATAGTAACACAGTTTGTAATAGCTAAATCTTGGAGACAGCCAAACTGCCCATCATCCAATGAATGGATAAAGAAGATATGGGGTTTTTTAATACAGTGGCATACGACTCTGTCAGAAGGATGAGCTTGAGACATTTCTAGCTAAATGAATGCACCTGGAGGCTATACTCTTAAATGAGATAAATCAGACACACATATTTAAATACTGCATTGTTTCTCTGGTGTGAGAAACTGAAAGAAATGCAGACCAAAATGTATAATATATATTGGGAAATGGGAAGAGAATGTCCAAATGAAAAGGGGAAGGGGTTGGCGGGGAGAAGGAAAAAATGGAAACAGCTTTTGTAAATAAGGAGGGGAAGAGCGGTTGGAAGGGAGTGAAGGGAATGCAAAAAAAAGCAAGATATATCATGTACAGGTACAAATTTCCTTGATGAATTTTATCACTATGCATATATAAAATATACCAGTTTTGTTTCAAAGAAAAAAAATCCTAGCTACTCAGGGCCTTAGGCAGAGATCACAAGTCTGAAGCACCCTGGCAACTTAGATTCTGTTTCAAAATTTTTAAAAAGGGAGTGATGGGGCTGGAAAGTCACTGTGTTTAGAAATCTCAGAGAGCCCAAGTTTGATCCCCGGTACCAAAAAAAAAAAGAAAAAGAAAAAAAGAAATCTCAGAGAGTTTATAAATGAACACATACCAAGGATTTTTCTGACATGGCTGATATTCTTAAATGTGTGGCATTATAGTTCAGTGGTAGAGCATTTGCCTAACATGCATGTGTCCATGTGTTCAAGCCCTAGCATTGAAAAGAAACTGGTTATAGGATCCATTTAAGTTATAGGGGTTTTTGTAGATTTTTGTGATGTTTTATAGGAAACAATTATATATGTATAGTTGTACTGAACATTTCACAAAAGCTATTAGAGAATTTATTCTCTCTTGAAAGTCTTAAACTTTGTTGGTTGGAGGCTGGGGCAGGACGATCACTGAGCTCAAGTGCAGCCTAGACTACATAGTGATTTCCAGGCTGGCTTGAGCTATATAACAAGACCCTGTCACAAACAACCAAACAAAAACTTGGAAAGACCATAGAGCTGCCCTGAGATTTATTCGAGAATTATATGATGCCACAGCCTCCTGAGTGCTGGAATTACAGGCATGTGCCACTGCTCTTGGCATTGCTCTACGTAGTTTAGATAAACATGGGACTTAGATTATCAGGATCCTGAACTAACAATAGAAAATTCATGTTTGTTTTGTCGTGATGGTTTTTGTTTAATGCCTAATGTTTTGACTTTTGTCATAGCCTCCACAGCATAGCAAATATAAAACATACATGTGTCGAGATATGAAGCAGAGGGGAGGATGCCCTCGTGGAGCCAGCTGTACATTTGCACACTCCCAGGAGGAACTGGAAAAGTAAGTGTAAAAGTCATGAGACTTGCCCTTTGGAATAACATAAAACAGAATAGTTTGCCGACTTTGAGAAGTACAAAAATGAATAGGCAATTTTTAGAAAATTGAAAACAATTTTTCTTAAAGACTAGTTTTTTCAGTTTTCATTACATTGCTCCTATAGATAGGAAGATTTTTTTGGTGAGTTAAATCTCAAAATAAGTTGGTTGTTTGTTTCATTTCATTTTGCTTTGTGTTTTGCTGTTACTTACGGTACTGGGGATTGAACCCGGGACTTTCACACCAAACTACCTCTCCAGACCTTTTTGAATTAATTTTAGACAGGTCTTGGTAAGTGGGCTTGAACTTGCACTTCTCGTGCTTTGGCCTCCCAGAGTGCTGGGATTACAGGCATGCACCACCACACTGAGCTTAAATAAACTCCATTGTTAATTGTACATCAGAATCTCTTAATGCAGTAGAAATGTCATAGATACTTTTCCACATGTTAGTAAGTTATATCTTAAATCAAAAGCCACTATGGTAATATGATGCTTAGTACAGTATGTATTTATTAACCTGTATCCTAACCTAAAGTGAATATAAAGACTGGTATTCCACAGGAATAGGTAGCTCAGTGAAATATAATAGAGAATATAGAAAGAGTGAAAAACATGAACTCAGCGTATGTGCTTCAGGTAACATTTTAACAGTGAAATAACTGCTATACATTTGAAAGATTTTGCCTCAACCTTCACAACAAAATGAATTTTTTTATATCTGTATATATATAAATAATCAGAAATTTCAGTATTTAGGAAGGAGACCAGAGTACTAAGAGGTGATTTGTTGTTGTTAAATATCTTAAGGAAAGAATTCTATATTAGTGACAGTTCTGTATCGATAAAGGAAAAGAATAATAACTTTGGTTACGTAAAAATAAAAAACTAATGTATGGCACAGACACCACAGTTATTTTTTCTCATTAAGTTTATTGGTACATTTTAGGTATACAGTTACATTCATCATTGGGATCTTGTACCTTTACATGACGTATCTTGGTTCTTGGTTACAAAGACTTTGTTTCCATTTTTTTTCCTTTTCTCGTATTTTTTCTTTTCCCTTCTTTCCTTTCCCCTACCCCTCCCACTTCCCGTACTCCTTTAGACCTTTTCTTCCTATTTCACAGTATCAGTTATACAATTTGATCCTTATTTACACTTTTAGTTTTTCACAGCAAAGAAACTATTTGGTATTTACACATGTGTATCCTATTTATTTCACTTAAGAGTATCGCCTCAAGCTGGGGATTTAGCTCAGTGGTTCCATCACCTGCCTTACAAGTCCAAGGTCCCGAGTTCAGTCCCTGGTACCAAAAAAACAAAAGTATCGCCTCAATGTGCATCCATCCACTTAGCTATAAATGTCTCTAGTTTTTCATTCTTTATGGTTGAGTAGTATTCCATTTTATAGAAAAACCACATCTTTATCCAGTCTCCAGTTGATGGGCATTTGGGCTGTTTCCAAGTTTTAGCTATTACAAACTGTGCCGCTATAAACATGGATGAACATACATCACTGTGGTATGACTCTTTTGGGAAGATACCCAACAGAGGAATAGCTCTGTCAAATGGGACTTCTAATCCTAGTTGTTTGAGGTATCTCCATACTGATTTCCCACCAACAATGAAGAAGGGTTCCTTTTTCCCTACACCCGCACCAGCATTTGTTATTTGGTTGATTTCTTGATAGCAGCCATTCTTTCTGGGGTGAGGTGGAATCTCAGTGTTGTTTTCATCTGCATCTCTCTAATGACCAGTGATGTAAAACATTTTTTCATATATTTATTTGCTGTTTTTACTTCTTTGTCTGAGAAATGTCTGCTCATTTCAAATGCCCATTTTTGAATTGGGTCTTTATATTTGGGGGGTCTGATTTTTTTTAAGTTCTTTATATATTCTAGATAGTAGACCTTTGTTGGAGGAACAGCTAGTAGAAATTTTTTCCCACGTTGTAGGTTGTCTCTTAGCTCTGTTGGTGGTTTCTCTTGCAGTTCTTTTTAATGAGATGAGATCCCGATTGTTGATTCTTTGTGCTGCTTCCCATGCTACTGAGGATTTGTTCATAAAGATTTTTCCTATGCCAGTGTCTTCAAGAGTTTTACCTAACTTATCTTCCAGCAAGTTTAGTGTTTCTGTTTTAGTATTTAGATCTTTAATCCACTTGGATTTTAGTTTAGTGCATGCTAAAAGATAGGGCTCTAGTTTTAATCTTTGGCAAGTTGAAATCCAGTTTTTCCAACACTGTTTATTAAAGAGGCTATCTATCCTCCAGTGAGGGTGTTTGGCTGCTTTGTCAAAGATGAGGTAGCTGAGTGTGTCTGGAGTTCTTTCTGTATCTTCTAGTCTATTCTACTGATCCTTAGGTGTTTGCCAGTACCATGCTGTTTTTGTCACAGTGGCTTTGTAGCATAATTTCAAGTTGGGGATTGTGATACCCCCTGCCGTGTCTCTTGCCTAGAATTGCTTTTGCTATTCTAGGTCTCTTCTGGTTCCAAATGAAGTTTTGGATTGTTTTCTCTAGATTGGGAAATACAATGTTGGGATTTCAATCAGGATTGCATTGAATCTATATATCACCTTTGGAAGTATGGCCATTTTCACTATATTGGTTCTTCCTACCCAGGAACAAGGGATGTCTTTCCATTTTCTTATGTCCTCTACAAACACCACCATTAAAGAGAAGCCAGGCATGATGGCATATGACTGTAATCCCAGCACTTGAAGGGCTGAGGCAGGAGGATTGCCGTGAGCTCAAGGTCAGCCTAGGCTACATAGCAAGATTCTGTCTCAGAAAACCAAAAGAGAGGGCTGGGGATTTAGCTCAGTGGTTCCGCCACCTGCCTCGCAAGCACAAGGTCCCAAGTTTGATCCCCAGTACCAAAAAAAAAACCCAAAAGAGAGAGAGAGAGATGTCCCTGACACCG